TATGCAGTTTTCTCCAATTTGAGAGGAAAAGACAGTCTTTTTAAAAAATCCTAAAAAAATATTGTCTGTATAACAGGTAAATGGCAAAAAAAAAAAAAGGAACATTCTAAGGAAACTGGTTTTTAAAAGTTGATATGGTATAAGAATTATAGCAGAATTGAAAAAGCTTTTCTTAAAACCCTCTAAGAACTTTTTTTTTAACCTTTTCTCACATTTATTCTGTTTCTTTATTCTTTATATGAGGCATACGAGACCAAATCTCTTGAGTTAAGCACTTTTTAACCACAAGATGGAAGCATCCCCAAGGTGGGAGGACTGAAGGTATCCACCAATGGTAGACTAAACAGTATTGAGAGAATATTCCAGGAAGAGAAATTGTTGCCTAAAGAGCAAAGAAATGATGGGAGTTCTATTCTGTTTAAAGAAAAAAAAATTTACATTCCTGTCCTGAAATCCTTCACTATCCTTCCTTCAGTGATTCATGAGACAAACACTGCATAAAAATACTATGCTGTTGGGCTGGCCCGGTGGCGCACTCGGTAGAGTGCAGCGTTTGGGAGTGTGGCGGCGCTCCCGCCGAGGGTTTGGATCCCATATAGAGACCGGTCTGCTCACTGGTTGAGCGCAGTGCGGGCACGACACCAAAGGTTGCGATCCCATTACCAGTCACGAAAAACGACAAAAAGGAAAAAAAAAAAATACTACGCTGTAGTGTTAGATGTCCTTAATTTGATCATTTAAGGAGAAATACTTTTAACTTTAACCTAAATGTTATTTTAGTGTAAACTCTGGAAATATTTAATGAGTATGTAAGAAGGCATAGCTATCACTTGTGTAAACTGGTGGTTTTAAAATTTGAGGTTCCGTTCTATAAATCAGTTGCTTTTCTTTTATCATGAAAGTAGCAGTAAATAGAAAATTTCAAAAATGAAGTTGTAAAAACACGCAATTTTACCATCCAAAAGTGAACTAATCCCTTGTTTATACTTTTACTTTTCCCCCCCATGTCTAATTTTTTTTTTTTTAATCTCATTTTAAAACTCCACCTTGCTTTTGGGAAAGAAGGGTTGTAATGGGTGCTTTAAAGAGCTACAAATTTAAATATTGAAGTCTAGCTAAAATATGCCAGAGAACTTCTGCCTAAGGGGTTCCCTATATAATGAACTCTTTCAAAAATTAAAAAAATAAAAATAAAAACCACAAAAACAACTGTCCTGTTTGTTTTCTAAATTGAGATATTTTTAGAAATTGGTATCCATAATTTAGCGATTTCCTACTCAGTCTTGTCTCATTTAAAATATTATTTGTTTAGCATGTTTCAGAGGACAGATGTAAACTTGAGCCCAGCCTCTGTCCTATGTCAATATTAGCAGGGATTTGGATCGAGGATTAGGGCTATTAGTTTTCCAATTCCTATCTGAGGCAAATTCTTTGTTTACAACTCTGGTTTCAAAAGCACTACCTGAGGCAAATTGTTTACAACTCTGTGTTTCAAAAGCACTTGGAAACCTATAAAATTTTTTATTCAGGACAGAAGACCTCTCTATATCAGCATTTCCCAAACTGTTTGGAAAGTCTAGGAATGTTAGTTCAAAGGAATTATACTAGGCTAAATTATTTAAGAAAATGGTTCCATGGCTAAGTATGTTTGGGAAATCCATTTGAGAAATCCTTTCCTGCATTTCTCAGAAGGTTTACTGTGAATTGTGAATTTTCCTCCAAATTTTTTTGACCAGAAAGCACACTTTTCATCCGTCATTTTGTCCATGGAATACACTGCCCTATGACACAAATTAATTTGGAATATATCATATATAAGTAACGATATCACAGCATATATAAAACATCCTGAAGGACTACCTGGACTTGGAAGAGTTATCGCAAAATTACTGTCTCATAAAAGGTCATTAAATTTGGTCTTCTCCAGGCTTTATTTGGTTTATTTTATCAGCTCTCTCCAGTGTGTTGATTTTGTTAACATTTGCATAAGTATTTGTTTTCAAGGTAATGTAATAGAAACAGCATTTATTATTTCTATGAATATTAATTATTGAGAATCAGAAATATTCTAAATTTACTAAACTCAAAGGCAGTCATGGCCCCTTCCCAAAAAACTTTACAGTCTTAGACAATTTGTGCATTTTAACAAATTCTTAATTATAGTACAAAAGAAAGTCACAGAAAACTTGTAAAATCAGTTTATGAAACATCTATAAAAGGAGTAGGTCATATGCTAAAGTATGATAAAATGGTTTGTGAGCAATACAGTATAATAATCTGCTTATTAGTGATATAATGTAAAGTTTATAATAGACCCAAACTTCTATTCTTGGTGTTGTGATCTTTTGGTGGTGCTTGTTTACCAATCTGACCATCATCATTTTCTTCCTCTCCCCCATCTAAAGTCATGAGGAAAATATAAGGGATGTCATAAAATAAACATCAACTATATTGTTACCAAACAGAATAAGAACCAAACGTCTCAATAAGCAACTTACCTAGTTGCAATAAGACAATATACAATGCTAAGAAAAGATATTTCCAATTCAGCATTAGATATTTTTACTTTCTAAACATAGAACTAACCTATACCATTTTTTGAAACTGATAACAACTGCAAATTCTGGAACAAAACACAGCATTGATTTCTTAGGCTCAGAAATGTTAAGAAGAGGTTTTTAACATTTCTGATACATCCAACAGCTCAAGCCTGAATGTGATAAATTAAGCACCAAAATCAACACTGATACTTATTCACTCCCCACCTTTTAGATTCATTCATGTTAACATGATAATGTGACTAGGTACATGAGAAAAAGCAATGTTACTTCATGAAAGTTTCCTTAAATATTATTAGATGATCATTCTAGCTAACCCACTTTTCAGTTTTCAGGTCAATTCTATTTATATCTGAGTCTTTAATAAGGTATATTACACCGCCTTCAAAATATTTATCTACCTGAGTGTTAATTATCCTTCCACCACCTCGACAAACACTAAAAATGGCACCAAAATGTGGCATCCCCTGCCACTGTTCCTAACAGTCACAGACAGAGTCACTGTCAAGCAGGGCTACTTCACTTTACAGATAAGAAAACTGAATGGTGGATTTGAACCTAGGGCTCCTGCCTTGTAATTGTCATTTTACTCTCACATTTTTATCTTGAAAACATTTGTCATGTTGGTTTCTCTACAAAAGGAATTATACCTGAACTTACAGCCTGAGGAGCATAACCCCCAGTCTAGAAGGGTGGAGAACAGCAGGAGTTTGGGAGCCCTGCTCTGACCACAGTCGGAATTCCAAGACTGTGTTTTGTCTTCAAGTGATTTTTAAGTTTGGTTCTGATACAAATTCCTGATTTTTTTTTTTTTTTCCAAAAGATGACCGGTAAGGGGATCTTAACCCTTGACTTGGTGTTGTCAGCACCACGCTCACCCAGTGAGCAACCGGCCATCCCTATATAGGATCCAAACCTTGGTGTTATCAGCACCGCACTCTCCCGAGTGAGCCACAGGCCGGCCCTACAAATTCCTGATTTTAAAAAACATCATTTCAGTAAGAAATTTACATTAAGGCTCATGAACCAATTCAGATTTTAGTTCATGCCTCCTCAAAAACTGCTATCTTACTTAGAAAAGGAAAAGTTAAAACTCAGAATGCCCAGTTGAAAAATTGTTTAGGGCTTGATGGTAAATCAAGTTTAGTCTTACATATTTTTATATGTAATATACCAAAATCATTTTCTGAAATATTATATTAATACCTACTTTCAAGTACATAATAAATTACTGCTTATTTAAATAAAAATGATCAAGATATTCAGGTTATTACCAGTAAAAAAAAAGACTACAAATTCTGTATTAACATATATGATTTTGTGCATGTAGAATAAGCTTGGCACAGAAATGACTCCTAAATGTGCATGTGTTCCCTCATTCCTTTGTGGGTCTCAGGCATTCACCATGTACCAAGCCCAATATGGTTTCATTACCAGATCCTGTAGAACTTTCAATTTATAACACTGTGCTCTAGCCAACTAAGCTAACAGGCCAGCCCAGAACTTTCAATTTAAAACAAGAACCAAGGCACTTACAAATCTGCCTACCAGAGTTGCTATTGTTTTTTTCTGTTTGATGCTGACCCCTCCCCAGCCCCAATAATTCTTACATATAACGTTTAAGATAGGTAAACTTGCATAGTGGAGAATGTTTGCTTTAAACTGAGTACTAATGGTAAAACATTTTGTTTCCTGATAGGTAACATAATACCTTTACTACAAACTTTAGGAAAATGCAAGGTCCAGTAAAAGCACTGTATTTAGTTTTTCTTGATACATACATGAGAACATTCTTCTGTCAGTGTTACAAGTGAGCTAGAGATTGCCAAAACTTAAGACCTAGTTTCATAAAATGACTCAAAGCCCTACACAGTTTCTGGGAGGGACTGGGAGTAGCAGGTTGCTGGAACCCCTTGTTCATTTATTCATTCAATACATGCTATGTGCTAGGCACTGAGGACATAAAAATAAAATTTTCAAACAAATAGACCTTCGCCTCAAAGAGCTCATCCTCTACTGGAAAAGGCATACACATAGAAGCAGATTATGACACGGTGTTGTAAATCTGGGGAGCAAAGAGGAAGGGCCCCTACCCCCTGATTGCCTGGGAGGGGTGGAATGGAGTTTGGTGGGATGATGGTCAGCAAAGGCTTGCTAGTGGAGTTGATACCTGAACTGAGTTTCAGTGGAGAAGTGGGAAAGAAAACAGTGAAAATGACATCCCAGATGCAGGGGACACAAGTAGCATGTCATGTGTCTAGGAACTACAAACAGTTGATTGTTGATTTTTGTTTTAAGTAGCTTCCCCTCTCCAGTGCTGTGTGGAAGATGGACTTGAAGAGGAGAAGGCTGGGAGCAAGAGACCAGTAAAGCTGTTGCAGTGGTGCAGGTGAGATATGAGGCCCTAAACTCTCCGTGTTGACAGCCATGGAAAGGAAAAGGGAGAATTCATCAACATTTATAATTAACACCAATGTTCAGTGACCAACTGAATATATGGGATGAAGGAGGGAAAGTACCAAGGATGACTCCCAGGTTTCTAGCGTGGTGGTACCAGTAATTGAGATAGAGAATATAGCAGGATGAACAGCTCTAGGGAAGAAAGTACACTCAAATTCCGACATGATGAGTTTGAGGTACCTATAAGTCACATCCGGGTGGCTATGTCCGGTGCAGTCAGATGTGCATGTGTAATGCAGGCAGGAGGCTAGACTGACACATTTGGGTGTCACCAACAGAGGACCGTGGCATCCAGGCAGGGACACTGGTTCTGTAGGAAGAGAGACTTCCTTAATTGACCTGTTACTTTGGGGCTCTGTAGATGCAACCTTGTCATCCCATCAGGCCCATATTTTGGCCCATATTTTCTTGGGCCATTGAGATGTGGTTGCTTATTTTTTCTCATATCTCCTTAGAACATTTGGAAAACTAAATATTCCCAGTCTTATGATCACTTTCCCCTTCACTGAGAACTAATTATGTATGGCACATACCATTTCCTCACGTATAGCACTCACGGCAAGGTCTTGTATATAGTAGGTGATCAATACATGTTCATCTTTATTGCTTACATTTATCTGGCTCTCTGTATACAAAATTAGCTTCTTTTTTCTTTTGCAAGAACTTTTTTTGCTTCTCAAGTTTAACTTCTTTCAAATTTCTAAGACTTCTTCAAGATTAAGTGTAAATAGGCAGTACTTGATAGGGAGCTGTCTTCATTTCATCATCAAGGCTGAATCATTCCTTTCATTATCACCACATGTTGCTTATTGCAGGACTGGGACACAGCCATTTCTCTTCTTAGGGAAGACCATGGAACTTATCCAGTTGAGGTTCCACAAGAGGGAGCTAGGGTTGCAGTAACCTGGCATGTGTAATCCCTGATTCCAGGTGGTGATGGGGGTTGAGTTTCACATTTTACTTTATTTGAAAAATATGTGCAGAAGAGTCACTAAAAATAAGAACAAACTAGGCTTTGTTGTATTTGAGTGGCTTGGCAAATTTTTGTATAGAGGAATCACTGGGCATGAAGGATTTGATACTGGGATAGAATCCAATTGCCCTCTGAATGGAAGTACAATATCCTTTTTAAGAGCACTGAAGTTCTGGGATTTCTCTGGAATAATCACCTTTGTGAGGTGTGGATCATGTCCAGAGACTGTAACCTGAGAGGAAATAAGAAACAATTGTATGAGTGATTTCAGGTGTTTCATCGTGCCAACACTTAAAAACACTGATATCCACCACGAAAATGCAGCCTTTGTGCAAGGCATGTAACAATCTGCCAGGCCTCCCGGGCTAGTAACAGATTCAGTCCTGCTTGCTGAATGAGTTACCCAATGCCTGTTGATATAAACCATAGTTGTTAATGTGGTGGCCAAGAATTACAAAATGAAATAAAGACAGAGACATGCACCTTATCTGGTGATGTAAGCCAGAAAAAGGAAGCAGTAGACTGATTCTGCCACCATCATTTTCATGGAGCACAAAGGTAAAGAGTTAACTGTTTCCCTTTGTCCCTTGTCTGTACTTAATATCCTCACTGGATATCAAGATTATTTATAAGTAGAATTATTTTCTCAGTTTACTCCATTTTCTTTGCTGCCGATCTAAGTGTACCTTGATCTATTGCTTCCTTAAAAAGCTTTGATTTTTACCTGGTTTTGTTCAGTTGAGTCTGAATTTTCAGCTAGATTTGGTTTTTTGGTGGAGGAAATGATCAGGAAAAAATAAGATAAATGTTTGACTAACTCTAAGTGATGTCCACTGAGAAATGCTTTTATTATGAAAGGGAAATGCTTTTTATATGACAAGCAAAAGAATGGGGAATAACATTTCCATAACCACTAATTGGTATGTATTTTAGCCATTCATTTAAGCTTCAAATGTCTTACCTTCCAATCTTGTCGTAGAACTAATAGCTATGAGCAGCATGTACTGCACTAGTCTAACTAATGGGAAATGAACAATTCATAACTTTATTCTCTAAAGGTGTGGCTTATTTATCAGATTGAATAAAAATAATTCAGATTCACTAAAAGAAATATCCTCTTTTTTCCACAGAATATAAATATCACATTGAATAGGAGGAAATAAAGAAAATTTTTAGGCAAAGATTCACAGCAAGTTAAGAATTTTCAAGCTCTATCCATCTTCTCAGTAGGAATAGGAATTCCCAAGAAGAAAATTAGCAATTGATGAGCTCCACTATTGGGCACTGTAGAGAATAACCTATGGAGCAGGGAGGCTCTGAATTCTACAGAGTTTTATAAACTAAAAACCATGCCTTTCATTATGTCCTAAAGATGAAATAATGAAATAGAAAGTCAGTTTTTACTATAGAAGAGATGACTATCTTCTCCCAGAAGTAGTTCTATACAGAATGACTGCCATGGTTGGCATCAGACCCACTAAAAAAAGTAGAAGAATCTTAAATTTCCTGGAGAAAGTCACATCAAAAAGAAAGAGGTGCAATCTGGCCAACTAAACCATTGCTTATTCATTTAGTTTATTCACATAAACCTATTCAGGCTCAAATTATTCCATACTTCCTTCTTCTAGGAAGAAATGACTCAGAAATATGCATCTTAATAGAATTAAAATCAGAAAATTTACCTGTATTGATTGGAAAAAGGGCTGCAAAACATGTCTATCACTTGTTTAATACAGCAGTAAAATTTGTGGATCAAATTTCACTTATAATGAATTCTAAAAACCTTGTCCCAATCAATTTTTTTTAAAGCAAATCTCAATTTTTATTGGAATTATTTTGGTTTTCTACTTTTCCTCTAATTATCAAAGCAGAACGGCAATATAGGACATTTGGAAAGTACAGAGAATTATTACAAAAAAGCAGAGTCACCCACAATCCCTTCAGTGGCAAACACTCTGATATTTTGCCAAAACTGCTTGCCATCTTTTCTCCAGTCTTTATTCTGTACTTTGTTTTAATGGTTGAGATCATATGGAGTACATAATATTATATCCTTAAGCATACTTTTTATAACCTGCTTTATTCTCTTATAGAAGCAGAGATAGATCTGGCTTTGAGATCTAGGTTTAGCCTCCTGTGAAGTGAAAAGAGTCCTGCTCATGTGTTAGAAGACCAGGGTTCAGCTCATTCTAACAAATAATAATCTTGCATGGAGATTACTTTAATGCCAAAGTTCCTGCCTTGCCAATCTATTTTTTAATAGCAGAAATTATGTTTAATGGAATAGGTGTTAAATGGTATTCCATGCAACTGGGAAGGACTTTTCTTACCTTGCTTAATTATTAATAAGGTTGCATTTTTTTAATCATAAAAGATATAAGAAATAGGATTTTGCTCCTATTAAAAAAAATTGCTGGAGGGGAAACAACATGAATTTTTCTGGTTTGTTCCTTTCATTCCCACCTCCCCCACCCCACCCCCGCCAATTGCAAGTCTGATGTTGTCCTTTCCTTCCATCCTGAAGTATCTACTTTTGGACTTTCAGGACGTTTTTTAGATTCCTCTGGGTGAGTGAGTACTGTGAGTTCTATAATATTTTAATAGCAATAACTAGGGTTGCATACTTACATTTATTATATAGGACCCAGGCAAGAGAAGGAGATAATACTCTCCAAATTTGTTAGTTCTGTAGGGGCAGATATGTTTTCTGTCTTGGACTTCTATAATTACATTGGGTAATGGATTTCTATTCTGATCAAAAACTTGACCCTTTACACCTGCAAAACAAAAAGAAAAATATAAATACCACATTTTATGGCATATAAAAAATTCTTATAAATATTTAAGAAAAACATGCCTGATAATTATTAGCTGTTTTGAGTTAATAAGGTGAAGAAGTGAAAGTAAACTTATTTTTGATGTAACATAAAATACAGTCAAACTACTAATCTAATGTATAATTTAAATTTGTTTGTGGTTGCATATTTATAGCACATATTATCAAAGAGAGAATACAGACAACAATCTTAAGATCTCATCCATGTACCACCAAACCTTCCCTTAGAGGGAAGTAATTGTTTTACCAGAGATATGATTTGTCTCTACCTGCTGAATTTGAAGCACTGGAAAAAGACCAGTAGAGCCAAAGAGATGCAGAGAGAGCCAGCACTATTACATCTGGGAAACAAAAAATAAAATTTTGAAAAAAGCTCAGATAAACAAAGGAGAAGACACAAAACCTGAGACTTAAATTATGTGGCCACATCTGGAGATGCAGGGAAAAATGTAAAGCTCTCTTTCCTTCCCTTGGAAATGTATTCACTTCATGAATGAAAAGTCTTTGCTGGTCAAGAGCTGGAATTCTGCATCTCTTGGCCACAATCTAGAGTCAGAGCTGGGCCGCTACTTGGGAGACTACTTGTTTACGTCCATTTCCCACCTAGTGATCACAGTTGCCACCTATTTTAGATTCATATCTGTGTTCCACAGAATTCTGGAACTCAGCACATACCGGATTCTTTTAAGCCCAGGTTGCTTACGTTTCTGAGTGCTGTGAGCCATTCCCCAGACGTCTGGGTTCAGATCTGCTTTGAAGAGTCCATGGGACAGACAGGGTAGCACCAGGCGATATTGCATCTTGCTTCTCCCCAGAAAGGGGAATAACAGGACATTTTAGGCCTTGAGAATTCAGATGTGCCCTCCTTTGCTACCTTGGCCTTAATAACTGCAGGCACCCTCATCCCAACCCAAACCTAGTAAATCCTGTAAGCGTGACTACACAGCACCAAGGGGTCCCAGTTTGAGATCAAGATAGAAATCTGCAATGAGTTCTAATTGAAAGAATAACTTAATGGGGCTGGTTGGTTAGCTCAGTTGGTTAGAATGCAGCCTTATAACACCAAGGTCACAGGTTTGGATCGCCCTACTGGTCAGCCCCACACAGAAAAAGACTAAAGAAAAAAAAAAAGAAGAAGAATCACCCAGTGGAGCGTTAGAACAAGCTGGTATGAGGCAGGGCAGATGCTTTCACTCCCAACTTCCAGTTGTCTAAACTTAGGTTCAGACAAGCGTTTGCTCATTTCTTTTTTTTCTTTTTCTTTTTTAAAAGGTGACTGGTAAGGGGATCTTAACACTTGACTTGGTGTTGTCAGCACCACGCTCTCCCAAGTGAACTAACCAGCCATCCCTATATAGGGATCTGAACTCATGGCCTTGGTGTTATCAGCACCACACTCTCCCAAGTGAGCCATGGGCTGGCCCTGCTCAACCTTTCAAACACAGCCAGATGACAGTACAGCTTGGGCTCCACCCAGTCTCCTACCCCCTCAGCTAGGCCAGTCCATTAAAGTGGAAGGCCTTTCCTTTCCAGACAAGGCAGGTCAGAGACTGTCAGGTAAAAATCTCAGAGACTCGGGAGCATCCTAGCACGTCGTGAGACTGAACAAGTGAATGCAATGCAGCTTGACAGATATCAATAATTTCCTTAAGCCAGAACAATACCAATAAAGGGGTGTTCGCTCCTGTCATCTACACAAAAATATTCTTTGGCTACTTATTAGGCGCTAATGGGGAGAGAACTTTTTTCTTTTTTCCTTTTTTTGTCTTTTTTCGTGACCGGCAACGGGATCGCAACCCTCGGTGTCGCGCCCGCACCGCGCTCAACCAGTGAGCGGACCGGTCTCTATTTGGGATCCGAACCCTCGGCGGGAGCGCTGCCCTCTACCGAGTGTGCCACCGGGCTGGCCCGAGAACTTTTGCATTAAGTAATAATGACCATATTCTATCAGTATTTTGAAATATGGTTTCATTATTAAACCAGAAAGAAAATGCCTCTGTCTTAAATCATAAGGGGTTAGGGTTCATGTGCTTATTTACATATATATATATATATAGAGAGAGAGAGAGAGAGAGAGAGAGAGATTTTTTTTTTTTAAGTGAGTTAACATCTGATCACAGGGACAGGCAGGTAGGTAAATATTCTTCATAGCGTAAATGGACATGTAAGCCCTCCAAATTCAAATAACAATAGTTATGCTGCAATTTGCATGTTATTTATCAGTTTACAAAGTTTCTTCACTGGCAATAGTATATAAAGATGATACTTCAAAGCCCTCCTTAATTCAGTGCTGGGTGAATAATGTCTACAGCTAGATTGAAATTCTGAAAATAGTAGTGCATTTACATGGAGCATATTTCATGTTCAGCTGCACTGCCATGTTGATACTGATGAAAGAATTTTAGAAAAGAATAGAGTAACACACTGAAGGATCAATGTAGGTATAAATATAATAGAAAGGCTGAATAATATATGCCTCATGAGGAAAATCTAATGGAGAATGAAATACCAGAATACTAAGCAAGAGAGAACCCAAAACAAAGTTTGATGACATAATGAGGAAGGAGAAAGACCCAATAATAAGTTTATAAACATTATTAAGATGCTGGTCAAAAAGAAAGATAACATGTTGTAACATCCCCTATCATAGGGAATCAGCCTACTCCATGAGTGACTCAGCCTGTCAGACACAGTGCTGTGAGTTCATCAATGATCTTTGTGTACTTCTGTTCAGGTCGGAGGAATGGACGTAGGAGGTACAGGTCTAAAGGAGGGTCGGGGCATTCATTTTAGGGATGTGTGGCCACGGCAGGGTCTTAATTATCTTTGTACTCAGCCCTCTGCCTCTGTGCTCCCCACCCTCATTCTTCTCCGTCTCCTTTTTAACAGGTGGAAAGCCTTCGTGTGAAGCATGCAAAACATTCCAGGAATTATGCAATTATGCAGAAGGCTCATGCAGCAAACCTCTTCAACACACACACGCACACGCATGCGTGCATGTGCACACACACACACCACCCCCCGCTTTGGCTCGATGCAGTAGCATGAATATTATGCCAACTCCTGACATGTTTCTTCCCACAAGCCATTCTAACTGAAGAAAGATAACCTTAACTCTGGAAATATAGAAGAACCTCCCATACCCCACCCAAAGAGACACTGACTGGTTGATAGACTTGAGATGCATGTGATTCCATCATCATCACAAGCAGTGTTTCTCTAGTGCAATGGTTTTCTTTTTTTTCTTTTTTCTTTTTTTTTTAAAGATGACTGGTAAGGGGATCTTAACCCTTGACTTGGTGTTGTCAGCACCACGCTCACCCAGTGAGCTAACCGGCCATCCCTATATGGGATCTGAGCCCATGGCCTTGGTGTTATCAGCACCACACTCTCCTGAGTGAGCCACAGGCCAGCCCTAGTGCAATGGTTTTCTAAGGTAGCCCATGGACCAGCAGCATCAGCACCACCTGGGAGGATGTTAGCAATTCAAGGTCCACTAGGTCAAAAACTCTGGGACTGGAGCCCAGCAATCTGTTTTAACAAGCCCTCCTTGTGAGTCCTGCACATATTTGACAGCAACCACTCTTCTGATACATTTAGTTTGACCATCTGTGATAGAGGCCAGACAGCCTTCAGGAAACAGACTGGGAAGTTTCCTAGTGTCAGGTCACTTGGGGTGGGAGGGGTTGAAGCTAATGGTGCTAGGTTACCACCCCCATGCTGGAAAAAATGCAAATGGTACATCCAGTGTTCTCTGGGTCTATGATGTTGTGTTGCAAGTGACAAGCAAACATGGCCTTTTTCTAAATGGAAGATGATATAACAGAATAACATCCTGTTTTTCTGATCTTTTACCAAATTTCAGGTCATTCGCCATGTAAAAATAAGGGTACTCTGGAATTTTACACCCCCATTAATGTAACATGCATCACACTATATTTTGTGTTAAGAAGGAATAAGAAAATCTTACAAACCTAGATGCACCTGTTTCATATATTCAATTAATGAGGCTTTGTTATCAATCCAAAAGAATGGAAGCTTCTCCTCACGAGGATATTTACAGCATGACAGCTCCAATGTAATTTCAAAACACTGGGCCCAGATGTAGTTGTAATCTTGCATTCCACCTAACACAAGCATATTTAATTTTTGTTAAGGTGTAAGACTGGAGTGGAGCCAAGTATCACGTACCTTGGGGATGAGTGAATCAAACAGTTGCAAGAAAAGTACATGTAAACAGAAAAAGATGAATTTGACATATTAGCATGTAAATCAGGGCTTGACATTTTATTACCCAGGTATGACCAGGCAATCCTAAATATTCCCATATGGGTAACTGGATCAGAGCTAACTGAAGTTCAACTGTGCATTCAACTAAGTGAGGGGTGGGTGAAGCATCCTTTTCTCATTTTTATTTTTTGAAATTCTACACTCTAAAAAGGATTCTCCAAATTACATTTCTTCCTTTAATTTTATTTTAAATGGATATAAGCTGGAGTGAGATTTCTTTAAAAATATTTCTATAAGCTGTTTATAAAAACATTTACCATATAAAGCTAAATACAGTAATTTAGGGGAATAACAATGACCAACATTCACTGAGTGTTCACTATTGCTAGCTACTGTGTGAAGTGTTTTGTTTAACTCATTTAATCCTCACAGCAATTCTTTTTTTTTTTTTTCTGTGACCAGCCGCACCGCGCTCACCTAGTGAGTGCACCGGCCATCCCTATATAGGATCCGAACCTGCGGCGGGAGCGCTGATGCACTCCTAGCGCCGCACTCTCCAGAGTGCGCCACGGGGTCAGCCCCTCACAGCAATTCTGACCCATTTTACAGACAAGGTAACATCTTCACAGGTATTAAGTAACATGCCCAGGGATTCCAGCCAGTGAGTGGCAGAGACTGGAGTGTAGGCATCTTGCTCAAGCCCCGGTGTTCTTACCCATGACACCAAATGCTCCTGGGGGTAAAAGGATCTGTGCTCTCAGGAGGTAACAGACCAGACCCCCATGGCTTCTGGGGCTGCCACTGCTCATGCTCGCTTTCCGGTTCTTACCTCTGATGACCTTATTTTCAAAGCGTTATAATCATTTCGTATTTTCTAAGATGCAAAGCTTTTCATATTTTAAAATCTCTGCATTGGGATGTGTCTTAAATTTTGTGGCTGATAAACATGATGTCTCTACTTCAACTGAAAAGATTTTTTTTTTCTTTCTGATGGGACACTGTTTTGCAATCAGTGGCCTCTTGGATTTGATGAAATACAGTAGTAACTTTGAAGGAAGTAGTTTCTGACACATTTTAATTTGTTACACTTGATATCTGCCGAGACACCCATGTATTTTCAATTCTTTCAGGGTGTTTGGGAAGTACTGAAGTAGAAAAGAATTTTAATGCTAAGAAAATGGTTAAAATATATCAAAATAGTATTTAAATATTAAGTAATATCTATACAGGCCTAGATTCCAGCCAGGAAGTATTTCTCTGTCCCTCCTGTTTGCTTTATCTACCTTACAGGTTTTGGTTTTTTCTCTGCCCTCATGTTCACCAAAAAATAGAAGAAGGAAAAGGGAGAGAAAAGAAAACAAAAACAAAGCCCTAGGCTGGATGGATATGTCTCAAGTAAAAAGAATTTAAGTGGCAAAACAGGTGTGCATTATGGGGCCCTAGCAAAGTATCCGAGATTGAGAATGTCAGGTGTGGAGAGCATATGCAGCACTGGGTGCAGTCAGGCCTGGCCAACAAAACACCCAGACTGGGCCAGGATGCTTTTGTTCTAATCTCCTCAATGCAGCTGGCTTTGCCTGATTTTTTTTCTGAAAAGGATACATAACTCACACATAGCCACACTTGGGAACAATTCCCAGTAGCAACTGTTCATAGCAAATTTCCTACACATCTGGATTTGTCCTGAAAGTTACAGACAGTGAACATGAAGGACAGCTCTGCCACTGGGCAGGAGGGGCTCCTCCCTAGCTATGGAGATGAACAGCATGACTATGGGGCTATATCTTGGACAACTGAGAGAAGTCTGGGATATTGTGGTGTCTAGCTGGACCTGCTGCCTATCAGTTAGGGTCTATGCTTATTTACATTACCTGGAAACTGGCAGAGAGCCAACCAGACACAAAAGTCTCAGCTTGTGCAAAAGTACGTGATAGCTCATGCATCCAAAGTGACACCTGGGGAAGGCGCCTTTGGAAGAGGATTCTGTGCAGAACTGCAGACTGCAGCTTGCTGTTGGTAGGGTCAGACTGCCCTGCCTGGAAGGGAATGCTTTCCACTGAGGCAATGGAAATCCAGTTCCAGCCCGTGTCTCCTCTCTTGCCCTTCCACCCTAGGGCTCTCCTGTTCTCTTTCACTTCCCAGACAAGAGAGCGCTCTTACATTCCTGGGCTTCCTTTCATATTATTCCTTCGATAAGAATCTCCCTCCTTCCACGTCCCCTACATGGCAATCTCACACCCTCCTCTTACCTGGCCATCTGATTCCAAAGGTGGAAAACTGGAGGATCCCCCCTCCGCCACTGTATCCTGCCTTAAGAGATCTTTTGTTTACGTGCAAAATGGCTTTAAAATCATGATACTTCATGTACAAATACAGCTTCTATTAGAAACTGGAAGGTCTGGCAATATTGGCACCCCACTGCTGCATGGCAATAATTAGCTGGATCTAAGTAGCAGCTGTCTCTGTTAGATGGGGCATAAGCATTACATTTCTATGAGGTCTTCACTACTCCCTATTGTATTTTGGCTTTACACTGCTGTGGTACACTGTACCTTTTCTAAATCTCTATTTTTAATCTAATTACCCTGCCATCACAACTATTTATTTGCATGTCTGTCTCCTCTATGAAATGTGAGGGTGTCTTGGCACAGTTCCTGGCTCATAATAGGCAGATGCTGAATAAGCATCTGAATGAATGGAGGCGGCCTTGGCAGTGAGGAACATGTCAGAGCATCTCTCCAACTATGAGTCACCTCTACTGCTCTTGTGATATTCGCTGATGGAGACTCTATTGAAGGGACTGCATTGTGCCTAAAGATCTTTCAACAACTGTTGGGTCAACATAAACCAGCTGGCACCTCTGGGGAAAGGCAATAAGGAGAATGGAAGAAATGAAGAGAAACTCACCTTGGAGTGGATACCAAGCGTATCCATTTGTAACGCCATTAGGAAAGTTCATTTTATTTTTACATTGATCTCCTTTCTTCATGTTGGGATTTCTTGAAGCATAGGTATGTGCAAGATATTGAAAAACATCGTCATCAGGAGTTAAGCTTCGGGAGAGGAATGTCCCAGTTGCTGTATTTGAAAGACAAACCAAGACCTTTCAGTAGGCTTTAGAGTAAGAGAAAACATACAAAACCATATTAGCAAATACATAATCACGCCACACATAAAAGCTCTAATTTCCATACAGGGAAATCCTCTGTCCACTTCCATGAAATATCCCCCTCTACAGTTCTTTTTGCTTTTTTTCTTTTTTTCTGGCAGCTGGCCAGTACAGGGATCGAACCCTGAACCTTACTGTTAACATCACCACGCTCTAACCCTCTAAGCTAACTGGCCAGCCCTCTTTCTACTTTTTAATGAACATATACAAGGTGGTATCTCACAAAATATGTCAGAAACGTAGCCAAACTCTTAAATCAGATTAAAAACTAAACATCCTCTTAGTCACTCTTGCTACTTTCTGGAGGTCAGTAAACTTACCTTGGGTACTATAGGGGTTAAATGAAGCCACTGTAATATTTTAAGCTCTTGGTACATATTCATTCCACATAATTTTAAAAGGAATCAGCAATTATTGCTCCTATGATTAGCAAAGAAAGGTAAGTCATTCTAGTTTTGTTTTATTTTCACCATGCTGCCTCTTGTGAGATTACCTAAATTCGATTTTACTATTTCACTGATGAATGTCAGGTGTTGGCTGCCAGTTCAGCCACAGTGCCCATCTACTGTTTGAGACCTTTAGGACAGATAATTCGAGGCTGGGAATGCGAGGCTCTTTCTACCCCCACTAGTTAAGTGATAGGGAGAAGAGATTGTCCCACTCGGAGGCAGAGAGTTCGTAGCTGCACTCTGGACTTAGAAAGCCAGAGCTGGGCCCATGTTTGCTTACCTTGAACACCATTATCAAACGGGTAACTGGCCACAAGGGCACCACCATGGAGGTTTGCAGAAAGGACAAATGTCTCCGTTTCCAGCCACTTCATGACTGCCTCAGTTTCAGGCTGCCTTGATACATTATTAAATTCAAAAGCATCGGGGAAATTTCTATTCAGGTCATACTGGTTATAATTTTCCCTTTAAAAGAAAGAATGTTTTAGGGTTTATTGATGGTGTGTGAGGCAGTGGATTCTTGCAGTGTATAGACCTTTGGTTTGAGCTCCAGGTGTCTTTCCAAATGTAAATACAGGTGTGGTGGACTCCAGTGAACCACACCTGCCATTCACACCCTGTGCCATCTCCTCCCATGTAACTTGCTCTTGTGAATGGGACATTGGCTATTGTGATGCATGCAGAGGTTTGATAAGTGTTTGCACTTTGGGACTTTTGCAACCCTGAGACTCCAGTGGTAGCCACCTAGAGAGTCTACATGGAGAAACAAAGAAGTCAGGTGACAGCCAGAACTGATACTCCTGACACATGGCCCAGGCTAGTATCTCAGACAGAACCGAGCTGAGGCCCCAGATGTGTGGCACAGAGATTAATCATCTCTACTATGCCCTGTCCAAATTTCTGACTTACAGAATCAAAAGGAAATAAAAAGACTTAAGTTACTAAATGTTGGGGTGGTTTGTTACAGAGCAATTGATAGCAGAAACAATGAATGTGTTACTTTATACAAATGTATTTCTGAAAAGTGGAGTGGCTGTGTTTAAATATGCCAGAAAAACTTGAAGGGAATCAAGTGGTGAGATTTTGATTATTTTTGGTAAAGCAACCAAATTTATATATTACACAAATATAAATGTGTATTAGACATTTGAGAAATTTCAAACCTCCCAAGGCAGCTTGAAACAAAATAAACCATTTAAATCAGAACTATGACAAGACCCAATCTTCATGGTTAATTCTTGGCCTTCTGGCTTAATAAATCAGCCAGTAATCATCAAAGGCCTAGGCATTGGGGATCTAACAATGATAAACACATGGAGAGGATTCCTACCCTCAAGTAGCTTGCAGTTTAGCGGGGAGAGACATTAAACAGGAAATGAGAAACTAAAAATTGTGCTATGAAGGTAAAGTGCCAGGTGATCTGAGAGCATACCAGGGGACCTAATATATGGTAGGTCGGGGAAGGAGTCTTTGAGGAAATGCTATTTAGGCAGTGCGAGTGGATGAGGAGTGGGAAATGGCACGTGCAAAATGCCTGAGGTGAGAAAGAAGCTGGTAGTTCCAGCAGATGCAGGAGGGCCAGAGGTAAGGTGGGCACGGAGTAAACAGCCTTATTCAGTATTTCACATGCATCCTATGGGCAAGGGCAGCCCTCAGCACATCAGTTACATGACACAGGCTCTCAGGTGTTCCACTGTTGTGTAACTCCTCTTGCCAGGGCCTAACGGAGCCTGATGGGAGCCTTTGTGTTGTTTTGCTTTGTTTTTAAATAAGGGTAGACCAGCCTATTTTTACCTTCCATTACTGTAATAGCAATCAGGCTTTTTGACTGCTTCAAATCCATCCGGGTTCATTGATGGCATGATGTGTATCCGGGTGCTATTGATCAGATTTGTGATTTCAGGGTCTTTCCCATCATTGGTTACGAGATATTCGATCAGATGGAGCAGCAGTTCCCTCCCAACAGTCTGTATGTGATTAAGAGAAAAAGGGATTATTACTGGGGAAGAGGCAATAAAAAAAACTGTCCTGAAAACACAAATTCCCCAACAGGGGCCTCTGCACGTGATATTTTAGACAAAAATGAGTTTGTAAGATGACTGTTTCTCAAGCATACTGACACTCCAGCAAGTGGCAATCAATTGTGGGCTGTGCTAAAAATTACTTCTTCATGAAAGTTGAAGTGCCCATTAGTAAATAACTTACTCTTTAAACAATGATTAGAGTGGCGTAAAGGTTCTTCTTATGTTTTTCATTTGCTCACCTTCCTAAATACTTTCTGGAATGCTAGACAAGGAAGTGGATTTACAGAGAAGGCACGGGAAGGGAATTGTGCTTCTCCATGAGAAGGCGCAGTGCATGTAAAACCATCGTGTATGTCTTGGTGGACAACAGACTTAGAAGCACTGCATTAGACACTGTAGATTTTAACAGAAAAATCCAAGTTTGTAATAAACATAATTTAAATAGGTTTTTGATTTCCAAATTCCCCTATTTCTAAGTTCCCCTATTGTATCTGTGTATTTCTGATTTCCACATTTGCATGTTTCTAAAACTTTAGTCATTTGCACATCAGCCTCACAATTTTTTGCTGTATCTTCATATTATCCAGTATATTATCCCTATACTATTTTTTTATTTTGTATTTTCTTTAAATGGGCTCATTTTTACTTACATTAAAAATGAAACTTTGTATCATCACCACTTTGTTATATATATACTTCTAATATATATTAAGTAAAAGCAAGACTATTAAAATTTTTAAAAACTGTCACAACCATCTAAATTATCTTATGTATCATCAAAGATTGGGAAAGTGAAGGCCTGTGAGAGATCTTCCCCAAGAAAGAGATTAAGAAAAAAAAGGTAATTCACATTTCAGCCTTATTATAGGAAGATTTGATTAGACTATATCAAGTTCTCCCTATAATTCTAGGAAAATCTGCTTCTGAAGACCATATATTGGTGAGGGTTTAGTAAGTGGGAAATCAGGGGCCAGAGGTGATTAAGTAAGACAGCGCTGCAGACATTAATGTAGATGTTGTGCAGGAAAAGATTTAATGAAGCCTCAAAAGAATTTTTAGTTACGACTCCATCGTAGGAATTCTTCATTGTGACAAAGGATGAGCAATTCTTGAATAATAATTCCTCACTTTATGTCCCTCACTGGCACATAAAGAGACCACATTTTATAAATCTGTTATCCTAATGAACATAGAATAATTGAAATTGGGACTAAGAAAATTTGAGATATGTGAATTATATATTCATAGGTAGCCATGAAATTTAGAGTGGAAATATATTCAATTCTGACTTCAGTTTTTTTTTTTTTTTCCTACTCGTGTTTTCTTCTTCTGCTACATTTTTTCGTTTTTACGGTCAAAATTGTCACTGGAAAAAGTTCTTATAAGCTAATAACAAAAAAAGTCACACATGCCTCACACAAGGTTTCCAATTCTAAGATATAAGTTGGGAGCTCAAACACCTTTGCCAACAATCTCAGTGAGCTACTTACTGGCTGCCCTAAAGCCAGTGGGGGAGGAGTTGAGGCCTTTAAATTGTGAAAGATCACTTTAAATGTGAAAAGGGTAATTGGTGTAAGCAGCTTTCTCAGAAGGGAGTTAGGGAAGAGAAATAGGAAAAGGAAAGGAAAGAGGAAGTGACCAGGAGTCCTTTGTAGTCCTGCAAATTTCTAAATGCTGATTAGAAACTATAGGATGTTTTAATCAGGAAAAACCCAAGGCCAATCTGAGTCCCAAGTCAAGTACAGAGGTGGAAATGTCAGAATGTAGTTCCAAATGTGAATTTCTCTCTTAACTATCTTAACCATCCATTCTCAAGCACGCAAGAACTAAGTACTCGAGTTGGCAACGAAATTCACCCAACCAAAAGCAAATGAAAAGGAACAGTAAAGAAGCCACGACTGAGGCTGTGTTGAGTTGGAATTCAGTTAGATATAGAATCAAATTAAGCACCTATGGAAGCAAGGGGATGGAATGGATCATAAAATGTAAGGTTTATAATTATCAGAGAAGGTCGGGGCTGGGAAAGAGGGAAGAGGAAGAGAGAAGAATTTTCCAAGTGCTAATTTCTTCACTTTTCATAGCAAGGGGTCATAACATACTATCAAAATTTACAAACTATATATATATTAAATGACTACCATTTCAAAGTTTTTCATAATCTTTTTCTTAACTTTAGAAGGATCTTCTGGTGATCAATTCCTTAATTTGAGAAAATCCTTATCAAGTTCACCAGTTATTTTAGTTCCACTTCAGTTTTATAGGGGTCATCAAAAAATTTATGGAAAGATTCATATTTTTTTCTCTTTCTTTTTGTTAATTTATTTGTATTTTAATTTTATTTTTCTACAAGTGTTTTGAAGTAACCTTGTATTCTGTTGATAAATTCAAATAAAATTAAATTTCATACCTCTTAAATATAACAAATAATATGACACATTTTATTTTATAGTCTTTGATGCCTCTCATTTTCTTACTACAGAAATATATAGATGTCTAGAATGATGTCTGGCAAATATTTAACGATGACTATTTCTTGGTGATTTTTTAGTATCACTTTTTAAAAGAAAACCTGTCATTTTTACAAAAGCAATAAAATCATGATTCTTTCAGACCAAAGTATTTTCTGTTTGTCTGAATATTCCATAACAAATTACAAGTCTTAACAGCAGATGTAGATCAAAATCTTGAAAATATGATAAAAACCAGCTAAGAGTCAGATAATTTAAAAAATGCTGAGGTAAAGAGATAAAATTTCAGTGGGAGTTAAACAAAATCCTCTTTTTGTGGGTTATATTTTGCTGCCTCTGTAACAGCAGATTTATGCCAAATATTATTCAAATTAATTCTTCCCAACCTTAATATAAATGTGTCACTCATTCATGTTTTATGTATAAACCTCTCTTCGTTTAAAATTAAGTCTTTGAATATGAAACCTTGGAGAGTCAAAATTTTAAAAAAAGAATGTGGTCAAACAATTTCCATTAGTTTAACCAGCCTCTCACTTAATTAAGCATGCTCACTTCGTTTTTGTGGGAATGCAGACTTAATAAAAGAATCCCTAATTATGAGACTGAAAGGCCTGATGAACACATCAGTTTCTGCAGCCTTTCACCAATAATTCATCCATAGTTAAAATGGCAATAACCCACAAAGCAGAAAATAAATTTTCTATCAGTTTTAGTTCAATTTAGTCAAGTTGGAATTTGCCAGATAGATAAAAATGAGACCTGTAGCTCTTCAAAGAATGTTTATACACAATGGAAAAATACACAACACAGGTTGTGTGTGTGTGTGTGTGTGAGAGAGAGAGAGAGAGAGAGAGAGAGAGAACACGGAGGCAGGCTTCAAAGAATGTTTATACACAATGGAAAAATACACAACACAGGTTGTGTGTGTGTGTGTGTGAGAGAGAGAGAGAGAGAGAGAGAGAGAGAGAGAGAGAACACGGAGGCAGGAACAAAAACTTCAGTGATCCTAACGAAGGAATCTGTTTTTGAAATGCTACACTGTAATGCAGCTTCTTCGGGGAAAATAAGTATGTCATTTCTGGGGCTTCACAATGGTGTATTACAAGATTTAATTCATTTGTCTCAGTGCCTAGCTAATCCTTTTTCTTCAAATGTCAGCCTAAATATCACATTATCTAGCATACTTTACTTGGCCTCCCAAATCTGGGTTCAATGACCTGCCTAGTACTCTCATAACACTTCATACCTGCCTCTCTACTGCTGCTTACTTACATGACATGCACCTGATTGACCTTGATGGACTGCCCCTCCCCCCGCTCCACCACCTAAGCCATGAGGGCAGGGATGCTAACCGTTCTCCACTGTATCCCTGTATCCCTGATATATCTGGCCCAACTCCTGGGTATATCATGTATTCAATAAATAATTGTAAATAAAATACTGTTGACAAATCCATTACAAGGTCAAGACCATTCTGAGGAAGAACCCTCCAAAAACATGGATTTCAGGTGCTTAATGAGAAAAGATATACAAATTATCAAGTTATTTTATTTGAAGGATTTTCAACAATGAACAAATTTTATAGGGGTGGGGGTTCATGACAGTTCTATTCATGACATAGACTTAGGATATCTGGTCATTCTGGCTCAGCCTCATCAGAAAGGGAAATGGAGATAATTGAGGAATTTAAAACATGCTTAAAATGAATTAGACACTTCACCTGGAATAAAGATTAGTCCTGTCAAAAAAAAATTTAATTATCCAAAGTCATACTGCGAAACTGAGGACATTTTACTATCATCTGGAATAATGGTGGAAAAAGAGCTTGAGAGGTGACACTTGGAAGGACAAGCTTTAATTTGTTTTGTTTTAATAATAACTTCAAAACCTCTATTGCATGTTGACTACACATCCCAGATTTTCCAGGACAGGCACAATTTCAGATATTATATTCTATGTTGTCTGTGTAAACCATTAAAACACTCTCTAAATACAAACATTTAGACATACAAACTACATCTCATAAACTGTCTTATACCTAGAAGATGTGTACAAAATCATTTTATCCTTTTTTTTTTTTTTTTTTGTCTTTTTGTCTTTTTCCGTGTCCGGCAACGGATCGCAACCCTCAGTGTTGCCCCCACACCGGACCGGGGACCGGCAACGGGATCGCAACCCTTGGCGTTGCTCCCGCGCCTCGCTCAGCCAGTGAGCGGGAACCGGTCTGTATGTGGGATCCGAACCCTCGGGCAGGAGCGCCGCCGCGCTTCCCAAGCGGCGCACCCATCCAGTGCGCCACCAGGCCGGCACCTATCCTTTATTTTTAGGTTGAAAAATATGCCCACTAATATCCAGAGAACATTTTTCTTTTCAGCTATATATCTGGAATACAATTAACTATAAACCAATGTGCAAGGCTACATGACTACGCCAGTTGTCAAGTAAAGCAAATCATAACTAAAGCCAAAATGATTC